TGGTAAGTAGTGGTCAGTTGGATATATTTCTAGGCTAGGAGGAGAATTTTGTATAGTCATTAGTAGTAGTACTAGCTGGCTGGCTCTTCAATGCTCGAGATATGATAGCTGGAAGTACTAGCATCATCCAAGATATATAGTACTAGTAATCACCACGGGACTCATCATACTAAATAACATAAATAAGTGACCAGTGAAATCAATAGAAGTACTGCCATTTAGCAAATAAGCAAACATCCCACATAGTAGTACTAGTAAAAACTTCCCACCCATTTATCAATCACCTGAACGTGATAAACCAGTAGTACCCTAAGTGAAGATTGCGGTACTAGTTTCTCAGATGAAAACCCGAAAGCTAAAAATTATATCATACTACTACTCCTAGCCCTACAGTACAGTATTCGGTATCAGACACCAGTCACAGACTATAATCCTACACTACTATTACCATAATAATATCGAATAAAAACACCACCAGTGCAAACCCTACTACATGTTATGTATTGTATCTCCATAATATCCCGTATAAGTTACTCAAGTAGTAACTCAGGTGAGTCGCTATGAGCATACTCCATTTCCATCATTAATATGATCATGATCTATATATTGCTAGTAGTATTCACGTCATAATATAAGTAATTATCGGACAATGCCATCGCGAAAGTAACCAGCTACTATTACTACTGCTACTAGTACTATCACCTACTAGTCAGACATAAATATAATAAATAAAGATTACTGAAGTAGAAAACAAAAATATCGAAACAAGACTATACCTACCCCTCACTCAACCCCAAACCCCAATAAATAAATGAAAGAAGTAGTAAAGAAAGAGAAAAAGGGAAAAAGCAAGACGTTACATTGCATAGGTGAACTTTACCTACCTACCTACTACTACTGGTATACTGGTAAACTATCTGGTGATGGATGGTCACTACCAAGCACACACATGCATACTACATAGTAATCACGTCATTAGAAAGAGAAAAAAACCAGGATCAGATCCTTGTAAGTAAGTAGTAGACATAATCCTAGTGATTATTACAATAGATCGATTCAATACATACATACAAATAAATACCCAGTTACCAGTTAACCACAATTTCCTACCTAGAATATAACCCCCACCCCTCAAACAAGGGTCTAAACAAGGATGATGCATGTCAGTAGTACTTGCTTGTCCTGATTGGGAACGTGTCAACCAGCTAACCATTTACTAATACTGCTGTGTACAAAGTGGCCAATCCGCTTACCCGGTGCCTCTGCCTCCTCCTGTGTGGCTGCTGCGGCGTTATGCAGCCTCCGCCTGTTTCAATCTGGCGTGCTTTGTACTGTTGCTGTCGCTGTCGTATTCATTATTGCTATTTCTGCTCTCGGGGATGGAGGGGGTGTTGCAGATCGAGGCTGGATAGCAGGGATCAAGCCTGTAGTTTACTATCGAGATGCATCGACTTCATGTAGGTGACTTGAAGGGGTTCATGTGATGGTGTGAAGGCGTGCCCGAGGAAGGCACCAGCAGGTTTGTCTACAGGTAGAAGATGTAATGACAGTTTCAATAATGCTAAACAGAAGCAAATAGGTACAGTTTCTCTCCAATTAACAGCATGCAAGTGAAAGCTACACACTATCTAGTCCCATCCGTTCCGGGAACAAGCCAACTGATACATAACTTTTTGTTTGATAAACCACAAAGAAATGAGATAATTAACGTGTATCCATGAGAAATATCAGTGCACAATCGTGTAGGTTTCGAGGTCACCCAATGTCGGGGGAGCCTGTTGTTGTAAACTGAGCAAAACACGCGAATAGTCTATCGTGATATCGACGAACGCCGCCCGTACCGTGGTTACGAAAAAGGAATCATGCGAAGGAAAATGAACGTCTACCGATGTGAGAATGGAATACAAGCTCAGTGGATGAACTGAGCAGCGAGGTCAAAAGGTTACCAGCGACGGTTGCCACCAAGAGGAGCAGCATTGGAGGCAGTAAAGTGGTTGCCGCGGCCACGGCCACCACCACGGCCACCCCAGCGGCCATAGCCACCGTGGCCATGACCACCGCCGCCACTGTAGCGGACCATCTCGGCGAGACGGGGGTCAATCTGCTGCTTGGCCTCAGTGAGAATGGTGACCAAGTCACGAGCCTGCTTGGAGTCTGCAAGAGGTGACATGTTAGCATCATGCCTTACCATCTGTGATGGAAGAAGTAACTTACTGTCAGTGGTAAAGAAGGTGATGGCGGTACCCTTAGCACCGGCACGACCAGTTCTACCAATACGGTGAACGTAGTCCTCCGAGTTGTTGGGGTAGTCATAGTTGAGAACGTGTGTGATGTCGCGCACATCTTCAAACACATGTAACGTTAGCAAACAGAGCATTAGTCAATTGAGCAACGTGGCTTAGGAGCCTTTCTCAGTCGTGTGAGACTTGATGCATCTCTCTCTCTCGCTCGGACTTAAAATCATCAAAACATCCGTGACAGACGAGTCCGAGGGTGGCAGATATCGTGGTCCTAGAGCAACCTTGGAATGCAGCTTCAACGAGTCGGCAAGAGAGGAAGTTTCCCTCCCTCTACCGGCCAAGTTTTTAAAGGGTTGATATGGTGAATCAGAACAGAAGAGTAATACGTCTGCTACACTGCACTGTGAGTCCAAGGTCCTCCTGGCTTGAGAACCATTTCAGGAGACCCGACAAAGCCTGGAAGAGTCATACACACCAACAATTGGTGGAAGAGAGTTAAGCACCGTGCCATGGTCACGCAACCTCAATACGGGTGAGGGTGACTTGGCGGCAAGAAAGGAAGGGGGGAAGGGGGGAAGGGGGAGGGGGGGAGTTTGCGATTTATTCATACCGATACCACGGGAAGCCACATCAGTAGCCACCATGATTGGGCTCTTGCCCGTCTTGAACTCGTTCAAGACCCAATCTCTCTCTTGCTGTTGCTTATCACCGTGAATAGCTGGAACGCAGGTTAGCAGATGGCTCTTTCATTGCCAGGATCAAGGGAGCTTACAAAGTGCCGGCCATCCGTCCTGGCGGAGGAAGCGTGTGATCTCGTCAGCGATGCGCTTGGTGCCGGTGAAGATAAGGCACTTGTTGCCGCGGTTCTCCATGATCTTCTCGAGGTGCTTGATCATCTTGTCGCGCTTCTCGAAGTCCGAGACGACCTCGACGATCTGAGTGATACGGTGGTTGGCCGACAGATCCATGGAACCAATGTTGACCTGGATGTAGTCGTTGAGGAAGTCAGAGGCAAGCTGACGGACCTCCTTGGGCCACGTAGCGGACCACATGCAAGTCTGACGGTCAGGGCGAATCTGGGAGATGATCTTGCGGATCTGGGGCTCGAAACCCATGTCCAGCATGCGATCGGCCTCATCCAGAACGAGGTAGGTAACACGACGAAGGTTGGTGCGACCAGCCTCGAGCATGTCAATCAGACGACCGGGAGTCGCAATGCAAACTTCGACACCACGGCTCAGGTCACGGATCTGAGGACCCTTGGGAACACCACCGTAGACACAGGTGTTGCGAATACGAGAAGACTTTCCGAACTTGGAGATTTCGGCCTGAATCTGAACGGCCAATTCACGGGTGGGGGCGAGGATAAGGACAATGGGGCCGTCACCGGGGGCGAGAAGGGGCTGGGCGTTGATGTGAACGATGGCAGGAAGACAGTAGGTCAGGGTCTTTCCGGAACCCGTCTCAGCGATACCGACGACGTCGCGACCGGAGAGGGCCATGGGCCAACCCTGAGACTGGATAGCGGTGGGGCGGTCGAAGCCCTGGGCCTTGACCTCGCTAAGGACGTACTGAGGGAAACCAGCCTCGTCGAAGGTCTCGACGGGGCGAGGGACGTTTCTTCCCTGAACAGCCATCTCGTGCTTCTTACGGAACTCGTCGACATCACGCTGAGAGCGCTCGGCGACATCGGCGTGTTCCTTGTAGAAGGACTTCTCGAACTTGGGCAGGGAGTCAAGGTCCCATTCCTGCTTCTTCAGACCAGAGCCCAGGTTGGACATGCGGTCTCCGCCAGCACCACCGGCACCACCTCCTCTGCCACCATAGCCGCCGCCGCCGTAGCCGCCGCCGCCATAGCCACCACCGCCGTAACCACCACCACCACCACCGCCGCCGTAGCCTCCACCGTTAGAGTAACCGTTACCGTTACCGTAGCCGCCGCCGCCGCCGTTTCTGGAGCTATATGTCATGTTAGCAAGCATGTTCGTTTGAGAAATACAGGTTCTCGACGTAGTGTCGAGAAGAGCAGACAGGTCTAGAAAGGGTTGACGGTTGATCGGATCGCGTGACAGCCCGGACCGCAAGCCAGGCTGGAATAGCCAGGGAGCGATCACAGTCGCGATTCAAGTCGCACAGCCACAAGGCTGGCTTGCACTCGAGCAATCCATCTAGACCAGCACTCTGGTTGCAGAGGTATAACTTACCGGTAGGAGTCGCGCTGGTAGCCGCCGCCACCGCCGTAGGAAGACATAATGATGTTATGTGAAGGAAGAAAAAAACAAGTTTTTTTTATGAGGTTAGAAGAAACCGGGGGCGTCCAACAAGACCACGATGAGACGGGACTGGAGCGAGGGAATCAACAAAGAGTAGTCTGAAGGAAGTAACACAACCTTCAAAGACGAGGGGATAGAGGGAGGAGAAAGAGAGGAAGGAGAGAAAAAGACACACAGAGAGAGTGAGGGAGAAAGGATGAAGCAGAAGATGGAAAGAAGAAAGAAAAAGGGAAGCGACGGGCGGGAAGCAAGCGAAGAAAAGAAAAGAAAAGCAAAAACCGGCGGAGGCAAACACTCGCCCGTTGCGGCTTAGCGCAGGGGATTTGGCGCAGAAAATGCGTTGAAGCTGCATGCTGATTGGCCCCCGCCGCCACCGCTGATTAAGGCGGAAGGCGATGGTGTTTCCACTTTCGACTTTTGTTAGTCTAGATTGCGAAGAGAGAGCAGGACGGTCAGATCTTTTCATGGCCAGCTATAAGCATATTGGGGTCATTCATGCAGTCGATGTCATTGTACATAGTCTATAAATCCTATCTTAACTTGGCTTGCCCTGCATTTTGCCTCATCTAAGTAGCTGCTCGGTTTCCCTTCTCCCTACAAATGTTTGCCACCCAGTCCCATGTCCCAGAAGCTAATCTCCAACTCTGTCGCTCGTATGAAGATCTTGATCAATTCTTCCACTCGACTGGGCGAAACCTGTCGCATATGCGTCTCAAGTAGTTCTAAGCTGGTGTTAGCCATTTCCATTGCCGCTGTAGGCTGTCATCTGCTCAAGCGGAGCCTCACCAGATCCTAAGCGCACGGCTTCAGTGTAGTCCTCCGCCACATAGTTCTCAATCCACTTCCAGTACCGGTTGCCCTCGCGGATAGACTCCTTGTCGCTGTACAACCTCTGTGCAATTGCCCCGTATCCGAGTAAGCAGGGTGCAAGGGCCACCTGCAATGCGAGCCAATCCTGTGATTGTCCGATATCGAGGATATACCGGCCGTATGCGGTGCACGCTGTTTAAGGACAATGGATTGTCAACGAACCTGCCTATGTAATCACAACTGAACAACTTGAAAGCTGTCACTCACCAATGGTTTCCGGGGTGCTCTCCATTTGCTCTTTCGAAAGGCCAAAGGACGCACAGTAATCGAGGTGCAACGCGGTCTCACGTTGGATGTGTAGAACAATCTTGGCTGACTATGATGGGATCACACCGTCAGCTCGTTGCATCACATATCAACTCAGTAGAACTATGCATACCGCAGCAATGGACTCCATGTCTCCAGCTTTGTACGAAGCTAGGGCGTTGCTCCGGGCAAATTGAACCTAGATTGAGAGTCAGCAAGCCACGTTCACAGAACTAATCACGAAAATCCTACCAAGTAAAGATAGTCTTGCACGAGATATGACTTGAATCTTTCCTCTGAAAGTGTGCCATCTCCCATCCTCTTGACAAACTCGTGCTCGGTGAAAAGCTTCCACACTGGTTGGACGTCAGGACGGTCTAGAGCATATTCTACAAAATGTCCGCTGTGAAATATTATTAGCGGAGCAAGCCATCCCTCGATCACCAAGAAACTCACGGAGAAAATGGTAGACAGTAGAAGGAATGAAAATGATTAATCGGCCCACTGCCCTTTCCGAGATCAATGCTAGTCTTGATACCTGCCTCAACAAAACGAACCGCGCTCTGAACTGCCCGCCTCATATCCTTACCATGGGCGAGATTGGCCGATATGGCCGAGGCAAGTGAGCAGCCAGTGCCGTGAGTATTCTTCGATATCAGATAGTCAGTCTCAAACAAGGTAATGTCTTCTCCATCGAAAAACACATCAATAACCTTCGAGGCCTGTTCATGATTCTGCGCGGTCCGGTTATCACCGGTGAGCGGCAAATGACCGCCCTTGAGCAGGACACCCTTGGAACCCAAGAAGCAGACCTGCTTTGCGAGCTGAATGAGACCAGGGAGATCTGTCGGCTCTGGGACGTCCACACCGGCATCTTTCAGAAGCAGCACGGCTTCGGGAATGTTGGGGGTGAGGACAGTTGTCAAGGGAAGAAGCTTTGTGCGCAGGCCTTTAATGGCTGCTTCAGGTAATAGACGTGACCCGCTAGTAGAGACCATAACCTGAGAATCCCGAGTCAGAAATAGAGGCTTTTTTCAATCAGTCACCACGTAACACAGGGCAAGGCTACCGGATCCAGCACCACCGCAGGCACTTGGTGCACGGTCAATGCTTCAGCAATGACATCGATGGTCTCTGCAGAAGAAAGCATTCCTTTCACCCTGTCAGTCATCGAGAGGAAGGCTTAGAAGAATGAATGCTCATACCCAACTTAACAACATCCGCACCAACATCTTCCAGGCCGGCATTAATCTGTTTTTTCACGAACTCCGAGGGGACAACAAAGATGTCTTGCACGCCCAAAGTATTCTGGGCTGTGAGACCAGTCGTTGCCGTAAGAGCATAGCACCCATGTGCAGCCAGGACCCTCTGGTCCGCTTCCAGACCCCTAAACCCCGCGGAAATGCATTAGCTTGACAGGTCTAAAACTGGGAGTGTCCATGCTCAAACATACGCGCCACCGGAGCTGTCTGATCCCGCAATGACCAATACCCGCGCGACTGACATGACGGCGGTCACTAGGGGAATTCCTGGAATGTCCAAAGGAATCGATTGAGGAAGACCAGGTCGCCAGAAGTCAGGGAAAACAAGGAGCGAGCATGTGAAGGGCGAAGTTGATGGCGGGAGACAGCGGCGGGCAGAGAAAGTGCCGGGCTTGATTGGCGGGGGTGCGGGGCTTTCCCGATTAGGCAATCCATATCTCGAGAAAATCCCAATACAATTGTCATTCATACCTATTAATTCTCATTCCATCATCTAGAACAAAACAATGCCCGCTATTCACATTAATGACCATGTCCCAAATCCTAACCACCCAAATAAAACTATATACAAAACAGAAGAACCCAATACTACTCAATCATGGCAGCATGAAGCGGAACAGACTGTCCATTTCAACCCATTGCCGGCCGCACTTCTTCAAATATGCGTCCACCACGCCTTTGATGGTTCCAAACCGTATGCGATTGAACTCTGCCAGGGCCGTCACACTGTCCTTCTTTTCCCCAGTGGGCTCCTTCTCTGCCGCTTTACGAGCCTTGTCCACGTCCCAAAGTCCTGCGAAGTAAAGTAATTGGTTATACATCTGTTTCTCCGAATACTCGTACGTCATCCGACCAAGGCAGCCCTCAGCGTGACCCCGGGGTCCAAGACACCGGTGTCCATACACGCTGATCTGTCTAGTCCGGTTGCCGCAGGCCGTGTCGTCACAGACGAGCCAGCCCTCATAGTACTTCGATGTCTGTGCACGAATTTGTGACTCTAGCTGGGCCACAACCGTCAAGACAGAGAATGGCTTCTGACAAGCCTGGTTGGGGCAAACGACACCATTGGCAGTGCACATGTGGGTAGACTGCGCGAGTCCTTCGAAGACCGACTTCTCCTTGCAGAACCGGCAGGTAAGCGTAAATCGGGTAGCGTTCTCGAACCGCACAGAGTCTGGAATCTGTGACTCGAGCGGGAAGATATCGGCATTCTGTTGGTTGCTACCACTCGAGCTATTGATCTGGTACTTGCGGACATCAAGCCCCAAGCACTCGGCTAGTCGAACGGCATCAGTGCCAGGAATAGGGGCACAGAGACGTTCGATCGGTGGGAAAATCTGCTTGAGAAGATAAAATTCGATATCAGGCTTGAGTCCCGAATCCGGCTTCATCACATCCTGGGGTGTGTATGACCGCTTGGCTGGTGCGAGAGACGAGGTCTCGGCATCCCCGTTCGTTACAACATACGATATGACGTCGTTAGGGCGAACCGTTTTACCGCGGGCAAGCTCGCGCAAGGCCACCTGTACCGGGGGCATAGACTCCTTGTTAGGATATTCCTCGGGTCGCTTGGAGAGTTTCTAGATAAGTGAGTTAGTGTGTGTCAACCGAGTGTGCTTTGATTCAAACATACCGTGTAAATGACGTATTTCTGGACAGGGACGGAGTACTCGCGCATCTTCTCAGCCAACTCGCGTAGATAGTCATGGACTCTGTTGAGAACAACCTCCTGATCCTCGCCGGAGAGAACTTCATTCAGCAGTTTCTGAGAGACCTCCTTCGACAACGAGCAGTATTCACGCCTCTTCATGTCCAGACCCTTGACTTCGAGCTTATCCACGTACTTGCCATCTACCTCGGTCATGTTGATGGCGGCATACTTCTTCTTGGCGTGAAGAAGAAGACGACGGAACACATTGTCAATGTCGATCTCCAGCAACCGGTAACGTTCGTTTACGGATTTCTTGAACTCATCACCGACCTTTAGCGCATCGCTGATCGTGTCCATGTTCGTGTTGATCATGACCGAGTCAGTATCACCGTAGATGACTCTAAGCTGCTTGGACTCTGCCAGCTCCTTGGTGCTTCTGAGAATCTCACGACCCTTGAAGGTGGTGAGCATGGCCAAGGGACGTGCGTAGAAGCGACTCTGCGTGTATCCCAAGCATCCGTACATGGAGTTAGCGGTCAGCTTGAAGGCCAGCTGTTTGGTGTCCCACAGAGCAAGCTGCTCAGGAGTGGCGCGTTTGTCCTTCATCAGCTTCTTGACTTCACGTCGACGACCGACTAAAGTAGCAATAAGCTTAGGCAGAATACCCTGCTCTTGATCGGAAGTAGGAACTTCGGGAACCTTTTCTTCCTTGTCATTATCCGCCTGGAGATGTCAGCTCATGTTCCATACAGTTTCCCTGGCATATGAACTCACAGTCGCTGTCCGCTCCACTGTTGTAAAGCAGATGTTGTACTCCTGGATGATACTGGGATACAAACTGTTGAAGTCCATCACTAGGATGAACTTGTCATAGAGACCCTTTTCGGGTTCAAAAACAAGGCCACCCTTGTACTTGTCCTTCTTCTTCTTATCGGCCGACTCGTCATCATCACCTTCTTGCATCTTCTCTTCAGCTTTCAGTAGCTTAGAGGAGTACTTGTCGGGACAGATGTACTTGTTACGGTGGAATTCGTGGAGAAGAATGTACTCATTCCGCTCGGCACGCGTACCACTCAGCGTTCTTGCCCAAGAGTTACCAGCAATATTCGTGAGTACTTTGGTCAAGGGCAGCATCTGAAGCCGCAGCACCAACGCAGCAATGAAATAGGTATCCGCATCACAGTGATTGACGAAGTTCATGAGGCCATCCTTGGTAGTAGCCCATGTCTTCAGTGCTGCCTCGCAATCCAGTTCTTGTCTGGCATTCTCTTTTCCGAGGTAGAGGTCGCACATCTCCGTCAAACTCCAAGATTGACATTTCATCATCAGAGACTTCCAAACATTAGTACGAAGTCGTCTTGAATCAGAAAAGTAAACCGGAGAAACTTACCTTGCCCATATCATTAGCAACATCGCACATCAGTCTTCCAGCAATCAGATGCCTCTCGGCGAAGAAACCTCCACCTCTGTTAAAGTTCTTGGGCCAGTCGCCGCGCTTCAACCGTCCAAGGCGATGCCAACCAGGGGTCTTCTTCTCCCTCAATCTGCTGAGCAGAATGCTGAGGTCAACCTCCTGAAGCTGATGTCCCATCAGAACATCGGGATCCATCTTCTCGAACAACGCCAGGAACTTGCTGAGCAGAAACTGTTCGCTCTTCTCCAGCATGAATGTGCCCCTCTGCTTCCGCGTTTCGGCTTCAAAGTGCATCGGATATGAAGAGCCTGCAGGCCGCATGACCGTGAAAGTCTTGCAGGGCAACCTCTCAGGCGGAGTGGTGTCCGTGAGGGAGACATTTTCATATACTCTTGCACTCGCCACGAGGATCTCCTGCTTGTTCTCTTTCACGTTGAGCTGGGTCCGGAAGGAGAGACTCATGAGCGTCAGAGGTGGCGCTTCCAGATTCTCAGAGTCAGGTACCGGAGAAATAAGCGCTGGCTTCGCTGCTTGGCATTCAAATTTGCACCAAGATGCATTGTTGACGGCAGTGAAATCTGCCTCTTCAATTTTGAGCCAACAAGGTCCCATGATGTTTTGCCAGAGAACAAACTGCTCGAACAATGATGTGTTTGTGCCGAATACATGCGAAAAGGTCTCGCCCTTCACATCCATTGGCAACGGAGATTTGTCATAAGGATAAAACAGCTTCAGGTATTCGGTCTCTTTCGGGACACCAGGCATTTCGAAAGCGTATTTGCGTGTGCAGGGCTTCATCTTATGCATTCCTACCTTCAGCCTAGACATCATACCATCGACTTCATGATAAACATCTTCCATGTCTACCTCTTCATCCGTCTCTCGCCCATTCTTGTGCCGATACTCTCGGGGAAGGAAATAGAGCTTGCGCAGGATGTTGTCAATCTTGACGAATGCACTGGCGTAAGAACCATTTTGCTTGTTCTTCACTTTTCCAAACAGGCAAAGACTGCCGTTGACTTCTGTAAAGTCCAGCCAGAACATGCGCAGACTTCCGTCCTCCTCGACGACATCCTGGGCGCGAAGCTTACCGAAGCTACGCATTTCCGACGACGCAGGGCTGCTGAGAACATTCAGCTTGCTCCTTACGTTATTCCAAGATGCGTCCACCTCTGGCATTGGCTTTGTAGGCGAGGAGCTAGCCAGAGGCGGAGTGCTCTCCCTCTTGAGTTTGGGCGGAGGCCGGCTTCCGGCCATGTTGACGCTGGTCGCCTTAGCGTCGTTCTGACCAGTGACTTGTGCGATCTCCATAATATCATTATCATCATCGTCAAACTCCTCGACCTTGACAGGTGTCGTGGTCGACTTCCTCTCTACCGCTTTGCTGATGGGAGACGATGGCATCGGGTCACTCATGGGAACGTCGTCATCATCCATGCCAGGAAGCGCGCCATCATCGTCGTCGAAATTGACCTCTGGTTGATCCTTGGCCGGCGAAACAGGGTCACTGTTTTCGTCCCTCTTTATCGGCTTCTCTCTGCGTGTTCTATCGGCAAGCGGGGGTGACAAGATGCGAACTTTGCGACGAGCCTCAGTCTTGACTATATTCCTCGTAGGGACACGATGCGGGGCCACGTTGGTATCGACTTCTCCGAGCAAATCGGCCATGAAAGCGTCGTCTTCTGCAGTAGCGACCGGCTGAACAACATATTAGAGAGCCATTCGTGCTCAATGGATGACTTCGATAACTTACCTTGGGCTTGGGAGCAGAGGGCGCAGCCCCACTGCTGAAATACTTTGAGATGCCATTATTGATCTTCTCCTGTCGTTGCTTTTCCTCCTCGCGCTTTCTCTTCGCAGCCTTGCCCCGGGCAGGTAATCCGTCGTCCTCGCTCTCGCTGTCGCCATAGTCTGCGGTGCGCTCGTTCCACACCTCGCGACCGTCGTCGGCATAACCTTCTCCATTATCGTCGACCACGAAGTCATCCTGATCAAGCCGGTTGCGGATAATCTTCTTATATCCCTCATCGTCGACCTCCTCGTAGATATCGCCTTGTTCCTCAACTTCGTATGTCGACAGGCGTTTCTTTCCTGCGGCGCGAAGGGCGCGCAGCTCCGCCAATTTGGCGCGGGAAGCAGACATGGCGCACTGGTGGTCTTCTACCACAGATACTATGTGTCCATGGAAGTCTTCCTGTTGGTTGATCGGTTAAGGACCCGTAACGGGGTATAGGGAGTGTGAATTGGGGAAGGGGCTGATTGACGGTGCTGGTTGCTACTGTAACTCCGAAAGGCGGGCGTCGCGCGGAGGAGAAAGTAACGCGTGCGGGACGCGGTGAAGACGCGCCCTCCGCCAATCCCCGTTAAGTGGTTTGTTTGCCGATTTCAGTAAGCAGCCTAACACTACAGACGCATGAAAAGCCCTTGAGGTTTTACATGGAAGATATGAAATGTTTCTTACTAATTTCAACTTATCCAAGTATTTCTCAAAGATAGCGTTGTTCGCATTTACAATCTCTCAAATTCCACACTGCCAGTGGTCCTCATGAAATTACTTAGTAGTCCGGTGCCTAGATAGTACTCTGCCAATCAGTCCGACATCTGATCTGAATCTAGATCGCTATCCTCCTCTACTGCTTGTCAGCGCTTCCAATTGCGGTAGTACCAGCCAGTCAACTTACCCTGAGCCAAACCATAGTCGAATGTCCCATCTAGACTCACTTTCAGAGTCTCGCGGATTACATTTTGCGCTTCTTCGGTAAGAGTGCTATCGACTGCATTTAGGATAGCCAGGTTGAAGCCTCTGTTCTTTGGCCCCAATTGTGAAATGAAAGAGAGTATGCCGTCGGCGGTGAAGTTGCTGAAGGCGTGGATGGAAAGACTTTGGAGGCTTGGTAGATCCAGGAACGCAGACAACGTTGTATCATCGAAGAATTCGCCGCTTATCCAAAGTCTCTCGAGATGAGGGAGCATATGTGTCATGTAAGCCACATGGTCTGTAGTAAAGCCGTCAGAAATATCCTTGAGTTCCAGCTCTCGGAGGTTGCTGAGCTGGCTAATCACATCTGCAAGTATTTCGTTGCCCGGTGGAAATTCGCTCCCTTCGCCGCGAAGGTAAAGATTTTCCAAAGTTCGCTGGCTAGCCAGAGCCTCGTGGAAAAGACGGCTGTCCGCCATTGCATACCCGGATAAAGATAGCGTTGTTAGACGGAGCCCTTCATGGGGTAGGACCTGCGATAACAGGTAAGAGTCGTCGACAAATCTTCTGAGTTCCAAGCGTTGCAAGGCCTTGCAACTGCATATCCATTCAGCAACTCGAGTGACAATTGCGTAAAAGTTTTCGTCTCGCGTAGCCGGTATCGAGTCAGTCAGTACCAGTACTTTCAACGCTGGCGCTGCCGTTAGTGAGGGCAGTTCTGCGATTGTCTCGATGGTAAGACTCGTAAGCTTCAGCTCAGCTAGAGATTCCAGATGCAGCCCTAGTGATTTAATAGAGCGAGGCCCCAGCTGAGAGTAGCTGAGTACTTCGAAGTACTCTAGCGTATTGGGGCGCAATTCGGTCAAAAATTGTTCAGAGTCAGCCTCCGCGTTTCTTGGTGGATCATTCTTCCTGTTCTATATGTGAGCATCACAGGCCAACTCTCGCTGCAGAGACATACCACCCATATAATGTAAGCTGTTTGAAATCAGGAGAGTGGTGGCGGATCTTATCGCCAGCATGCTGGCTTAAGGCATCCCCCGACCATATTGTGAGGGACTTTAGCAGGGGTAACCCCTCGATCCATGCAGAAAGGGTTTCCGGTGGTACTAGAGAGCGATCAGACATCTCTGGACCGACTAAGGAAGTTTATGGAGCCTAGATGGAGACTACCGTTACAAGACATTCCTCGTATTGACCTAGTCTTCTGGATGATTGCTTTCAGATGTCAGCACCGAGGAACTACGACGAAATAGTAACGCATCAGGTTAGCCGAAAAGGATGAGAGACCAACCTGTGCCAATCTTCACCATGACCCAATCATTGTCAGGATAGGCTTTTGACGAACGGAGTCGTTTGGATCCCTTGACTTCGTAGTCGTGGGATACTAGTTTTAACAGCTCCGGGGTAAAAAAATCACTAAAAATATTAAGCAGCAAGTAACATATAGTTAGTAGTGGAAACATACCCCTTCATCGTCTTTGTAAATCGCGGTTCCTTAAGGAGGTCCCCGAAGTCATCCAAATCAAGATAGCGGATATAGCTATAGTACGGGAGGTAAGTTTGGTCCAAAGTAGACAGGATAACAGAGCGCCATAATAGGGCCCATTTTCGTATGACTGGATCCTGTTCGCCTTTGGAAGACCAAACAGTGGCTACTCTCCGAGACCTGAACTGCTCGTCTTCTGTACCTCCGCCCCTCACTGGCGAAGTATCACATAACCTGTCATCATCAGCATCCACCACCAACGCGCCATTGCATCAATATATGGAGACTTACTTGTACAATACCGCCAAGGAATGCTCAGTAAAGCATTTCGAAGAAATTGCGCATTGAAAAAGGCTGTTGTAATCCTTCTCATCGCCCAAGATATCCAAGATCATATAGAGTACGTCACCGGCTAACGCGAAGGCCATCTTCACGAGACCAGGAAACTGACCACTCCAAGATAGATAGCACAACAACCAACCAAGATAACTCTGTTCAATCTCTGCCTCTAGCGTCTCAAATACAGCATCACGAGGATCGATGCTCAGTGGTATCCTGGGAGCTGACTGAGAAAGCAAGGCGCCTCCCGTACAGTCCCGCTTATGTAAGCTCGCGTCGTGTTTGCGATCTGCCGTGACCGAGTGACAGGATCCCAACAAGTATCAAGAGCCATATTGAGGGTTAAACGAGGGTATCGCTGCAGATAAGCTTCAAAATTATCAAGAGATTTCATAGACTTGCTAACAGCTGGATATGCTATTTTTGTCCTAAAGAAACATGACAACTCTCTCATTCTCGCTCGCACCGAAGGCGATATACCAACTACATGATGCTCTGATGTGTCTAGCAAAATTCGACGATAGTGTGGCAATAGAAGCTGAAATTGATCTGGTAAGCTTATATCTTACTTAACGAAGGCTGAAAATAAGCTAAAATGTTACCAAGCTCCGTTTAAGCGTGCTCAATCCCACTAAGACGGCCTACTCTGCGTTTGTCTTCGAGGCGGATGGCTTTTTTGAATCCTACTCTTTTGGTAGAGCGAGGAATGGCAGCTCATCTAGAACTGTGCATCCGGAAAAATTCAGCTGCAAGGTGTTGATCAAGGTGGGAGTCTATACTCTATGTAGTCTCGTTTTCTGGCTGACATACCACAGGCCCTTCTATCGGCCTTCAAAGGGAAGACGAGTGGACGTGACAAAGACACTTCTGTCGAACGGTGCGAGGTCGAGCTCCAAGAGGATCTAGATGAAAGCGAGTGCCGACTCGTCATCAGATTAATATGTGGACTTGGTAAGGCTCCGACCAACCCAATCCAAGCTCATCTGTGGCTCCAGCTTACAGTCCTCTCAGGCGTCATCAAGCTCTACAAACTTACGTATGAACCTGTACATGTACAACATGCCATATTCGACAGGTCCAAAGCGACAAACGAATGGAGCATCGAACCAAAGTATTTGAAGGAAATAACAGATCATTTCGGTCCCTCAGCAGAGCATCTAGACATCTACTCCGAGCAAGGCAAGGCCGTCTTCACCAGCTTTACCACGAAAAGCTCAGACGGAAAAGGTACTGCTACTCGCCCTTCTATGAGTTACCTCCATACTCACAGTCTGTCATAGAAATCCTTCGCCAGCCGGTGCACACCTCCGTAGCTACTGAGAAAAGGGACTTCGATTACTACTTAGCGGAAGACCATCTCCACGTGGCCATCCACATGAAGGACTTCAAGGCGGCAATAGCACATGCTGAGACAGCAAATGCAAAGATCACCGCCCGATTCACCCGTCCATCTCGTCCTCTGCAATTCGCCTACGAATCCGAGGGCATTAAAACCGAGTTCACACTGATGACTAGAGGAGACTCACCCGGAGACGACGCCCCAGGCTCCTCTCGAGCAGCGCCCCAGCTATCCGCGCGTCAAACTCCTGCACCTGTGCAGATAAGCCAAAGAAAAACGGCTCCAGAGACTGCACAAATGCCTCCTCCCCGCAGTCGGTCAATTCGGCCCCTCACTGGGACTTCGACCCGGGCTTCGCAATCCAATACCGAGACCCAACAACCGCCGCCATCAATGGAGTTCGACAGTCTGTTCGTTCCCGCGGATGACGACAGGCAATGGGACGTGCCAAATGATGAGGATGAAGGTCCGGTCGAGGACGAGCTCGGCTGGGATGCCACTGGAGAGCAGGTATGGCTCAAATCGCCATAGGCTGCAAACCTCTTACTGACAAACCCCAACAGACAAGCACAGGCCCTGGGCTACGAGATATCGAACCCCGAATGGCACAGACGAGCCATGAGGAGGAAGAGATGGGCATCCCGCCCACTCAGCGCATGTCCCAGGTAAGTCGAACGCGCTCGCATCTATTGATCGTGCTGACAACCCGTAGCTGCACGGCCTTGGTCTCTTCGACTGAACAGTCACCCTACACCAGACCATGAAGAGAACCTCCCTCAGCATGAGTACCTCTACCTCAGTCCCGAGTAATCACCCAACTCGTGGCACAACCCGCACCGAGCCCAACAACCTCCCCGACCCCATCCGGCAAAGGAATCTGGCAACACACCCCCTTCACATTCCCCTGCGCATCCGTCTCAGGACCACAATTACCATGCTCTCCCCAACCACAAGCCACCACTGTCCTCCCATCCACAAGACCAAGCACATGCTCACTCCCCACAGCCAACCCCTTCACCACCCCCATCTCCCCCGGCGGCAACTGCCCCCGATCATCCCTCCCCCAACACACAACCCTCCCATCAGAACAATGTACATAAACCCCATGCCAACTCGTCTGTATACCCTGAAAACAGCCCACAGGCTCCTTCCGCCCAGACATAACCCCCCACTTATCCCCAGGCGACCCCAGCACAACAAACTCCCCCTTCTCTCTATCCCCAACCACAACCGTAAACTCCCTCCCACACGCTGCCCCCGTCGCCCGGAACCCTATCTCCTCCTCATCAATCCTAACAGGTTCCCACGCAACCTTGATTTCTTTCCCCTTAGCACCTAACTGACCTTTCCTCCCCCCTCCCCACCCATACACCTGACCTCCCTCCAACACAACAACCGTATGTCCCATCCCACTCGCTATACTGATGACTTTCTCCTCGAACTCAATGCATCCAACCCCCTCTTCCACACAGGTCTTCCCCTCCCCAACCCCCAATTCCCCCCTTCCCCCAGTTCCTAGGACATACACTTTCCTCCCGGATACCAGGAACGTCGCTTCCCATGTAGCTGACACGTCTGTAAACCTCTCCTCTCCCACATCACCCACATCACCATCACCATCACCATAGGAAGTATTAACAACAACAACCCGCCGAAACCTCACCACCTCCCCATCTCCATGTCCACTCCCCGAAGGTAATCTACCCCCGCACCGCCCATCCTCATTACACCCCGCCGCATATACCCTTCCATCAGAGAACAAAACAAGGGTGTGGTTTCCGCCGGCTGCGATGCGGGATATCGTTGGTGTGTTTGATGAGGAGGCGGTGGAGGGGTATTGCTCATCGTCGAAGAGACATTTCGTTGGGATGGAGACGTCTTCTGTGTGCGAGAGGCCGAGTTGGCCGGAGCCGTTGGAGCCGAAGGCGTAGAGGGGCATAATGCTTTTTCCCTTTTTCTTGGTGGAGGTGGGGTGGAGTTTCTGTGTCTGTCACTGAGTATGGGTCTGTTGGGAGGATCAATTGGTGAGGGTGTCGAGATGGTTAGGTCTGGAGAGTGGGAGGATGATTGGAGTGAATTGAGTGGTAATATTGCAAAGTAGGACACATAGCAAGAATATGGAATATGGGAGAATATGCGTTTAATGTGATGTGTTGAGGTGAGGGGAAGAGGGTCAAGTTACGACACCGCTTTTCTTATCGCCTGCCCTTTTCGGCACAATGTAGGAGGGTTGGTGGGCTGTCCGGCCGGCAGAATGCATGCGTGCGGGGCGGGGCACGTTGCGTTGCGTTGCGCTGGCAGGGATCGGATGCACGGTTGGAGATCTTGGTAGGTGTCACGATCGTGATGTAGGTAGGTTACATGAGATACTACGCGTTGTACCATGGGACGTTTTAATTGGGTGGATGAATATATGGAGCGATGTTGTATGTAGAGAATCCCATATCATTGAGTGAACCATCACTTCATGGGTATATATATTAATCAAGTCTATATACTAACGAGTACCATGTATGTACCTGGGTATTGAGTGCAAGACGAAAGGAATGAAGGCATCTCTCGCTCGACAGCTGACAAGGAAAAAACAATGTACTAAGAATGCAAAAATAGAATGCGTGTCATCATCATCCAAAATCTGACGTGCCACATCCAATCAATCACACATGCTCGCTTTCCAAAATGAACACCCAAAAAGAAAGAAAAGAAGAACGCCATTTATAGTTCGGACTTTTCGTTATATGACTCCGTAGACGAATCTTGCGCTGCGGGAGGCAGCGCGAAATTATCCGTCTTGGTGGCAGTCTGCTCCATCGGGCGGAACATGGGACTGGTGCGGTGGAAGTAGGCATGGACATGGCCCTCCAGGAGGGAGTCATCCGTGTCCTGCACGAAGTCCTCGCCCTTCTCGTTCTCGGAGATCTTGGCGGTCATGGCGGCCTCCCACTCGGCACGGTACTCCTCAACCTTGTGCTTGTAGTCGAGCTCAGCGTTGTAGTTCTTTCCGACACCCGTCAAACGCTCCCAGAGGGAAAGGTGCTTGGAGTGAATAGCAGGGCCATGGTACTCCTGCTCGCGGCCGTCGCGGATGTACTGCCAGCGACGCTCCTGCTCCTTCAGATCAAGACCAGTGGTATCCGGCAGGAACAACAGAGTCAAGACCATACCACCAAGACCGAACCAAGGGACAACGTAGAACTTGGTCTGGGTGTCGATGTAGTTGTACAAGACGGAAGCCAGGAGTGCACCGCTCTTACCGCAAGCGGCGGAGAGACCGTGGGCTGTCGCACGAATGGGAGTCGGGAACACCTCAGCAGCCACGAGGAAAGTGACAGAGTTGGGTCCAAATTGGTTGAAGAAAGAACTCAAGAAGTACATCGCCTGGAAAGCGTGGATGTTCTCAGGCCGGGTGTAGTACTCATAGTGGAAAGCAGGGACGACGAAGAGGATGAAGCACATGAGGAAACCGATCATCTGCATCCACTTACGACCGTAGAGCTTGTTGTCGACAAGGAAAGAAGCACAGTAGTAACCAGCCAATGACACACCAATGTTGCACAAACTCCAAAGCCATGTTGGCATGATAGAGTTGCTTCCAGGGCTAAGCACCTTGATAAATTCGGAACTGAAAAGCTTGTTGCCGTAGAAGAAGACATCGTTGGCGAACCAGCCACCGGCAGTAGCGATAATGCGGAAACCGAAATAACGGAAAGTCAGCTTCAAGGAGTTGACATCGTATCCAGTAACAGAAGCCTTCTTCTTAGCCGCAGCAAGCTGCTTGCTGGCAGCCTTCATGTGGTAGGCACGGTAGTACACCAGCCACAAGGTGCCGACGGCGGGAATGGCGAAAGAAATGCGGTAGGTCCACTGGGTAGCCACCGAAGAGTAAGGCGGGTTACCGCTACCGTGGTGGAAGATGAGCAGCAGAATGATCAGGATAGCCTGGTTGAAGAATTGACCCCAACCCTGCATCAAGAAAGCACTGGTAACCTTGCGACCACGGTGGAGGCGGTCCTCCTTGGTCGAGATCTTTCCGGAGCCGACAGCGTTTTCCATACCGCTAGTGGCAGTCATGGGATATTCACCACCAACACCAATACCGTAGACGAACAATGACCAAGCGTAGCAAATGACCCAGCCGTTCTCAGTGACACCCCAAGCGGCGGTAAGCATCACCAGACCCAGCAACATGATTGCAGCGTCCTGAATAAGACCCCAGCGACGACCGAGCCTGATATCAATTAGCTATTATTGCCGCGATGTTTTCTCCGGGGATCGAGGACTTACCAATCACCGACAATTCCGACCAAGATCTGGCCGAAGATGATACCGACAATCTCGAGATAGTCGACCGCGTTGATCCATTGTTTGTTGCAAATCGTATGATCATCCCAGCAGGACTTGAAAGAGGCCTCGAACAAGGGTTTGATGTTTCCGATGGAGAACAGAACGTAACTAAAGAGGGATAATGTGAGCACAACGCGTTTTCGGCCGGTGACTAGACCAGTACGTACCCCTCGAGACCCAGACCAGCACCAGGAAGAACCATATTTCGGAAATAGTACGAGATGGGCGAGAGAGGATCTTCCTTTGTCATCTGCCAGATTGAACTGAGTTCCCGCTTGGCTTCTGCGGCGTCGTAGGAACCGACGAACTTGATCCGCTTCAGGAGCGGCAAGTCGGCCCAATACGTGCCATCGGGAGTATAGCTGTCGTCGGGGCGAATGAGGGCGTCAAAAGCGCCCTTCTCGTGAATATCCATATCCTCAAGAGGGTTATGGGTTCCCGACATGTCGGGCCCATGAGGAGCGCGTAGGCCGAAGTCCGTCATGGTGGCGTCGTCGAAGGACCAGTCGAAAAGTGGTCCGACAGTCCGGGAGATTGACGACAAAGAGGGGTGGACGCGAGAAAGCTTGAGACGTCCGTAGAGGGTATTCTCCTAAGAGAGGAGAGGAGGAGGACGAGAGAGCAAGCTCGGATTGAACGTGATGAAGGCGTCACACACAATGCGGGCCAAGTCGGACAACGGCCAGCCGTCGAAACTTATATTCGGAGGGTGACGGCAAAAGGAAAATCTCTGGGCAGGCGTGGACCAGAACCAGCCCACCAGCGTGCTCCAGGCACATGTCCGAATGGTGGAACGTGATAAGCCAAAAGCAGGTCTGGGTAGCGGAGAAGATCCAACGTACTACTTAGTGTGGCGGGTTCCACTGGGCCTCCGGAGTCGAGGCTGCCGTGTCAGTGGTGAATGGCAGGCAACTCTGCCCCATTTTGCCCAGAACCACCTTCTGGTGCAGGGCCAAGCAACCCTAGAAGCGGGTGAAACTTCCCACGAGCCTCGAAAGCATAATTTTATTTTCGCTTTTTTTATTTTCTTTTTCTTTTTACTCTGTGTGTGCCGGGGTTCTGTTCATTCTCACAACAGCCCAACACAACAGCACACTGGGGGGATGGTAACACTGCAGAACGCAGAGGTAAGCTTCTTCTTTAGGGTCTGAACACCCACCACGAGCACAACATCATTCTGTCTCCCCTTACTTGCAGTATTGGAGATGGATCTCGTGGTTTCTTGCCTAATCGACATTAGTCCATGACTGCATCTCCAATGGATACAGCACTTTTTTAAAGCAGCCCACATCGGGTCGAGTGGCGGCGGAACTAAAGTAGAAGAGATACTCTAGTTTTAGTGCGATGATTAATGGAAAGTCGGCGGGGATCTTCCGGACGCGAACTTGTGCCGCCGGCCAATCAACGGCGCACGTGGTGGCAGAATTCCCCCAAATCCCGCCGGATCGTCTGATACCGCCTTCTAGAATGAAAGACCCTCATCCCCACCCGCACCAATCAGAGCACAGCTGGTCCGCATTCGGCTGACGGGGTGGCAGCGAGTGCATAAGCGGGCATAAGCTGGTCTTTCTCTCCACACTGGCTGGCTACCCAGAAGGGAAGGAGGCCAAGTGAGCATTGCGGTCACAGCCAACAACTCATTCAATTTCTACGCTACACACGGCTAATCCTGCGGAGAAACCGCTTTGCCTCATGATCATGCGGTGGGGGAAACTTTTTTTGGCTGACATGGAGAAGGATGGGTTCCTATCATTGACGGTTGTGAACCTCACACGACCACTAACTAAAGCGCACGTCCCATTCGGCCGCTTTCTCCCCATACTCACCATTTAAGTTCGTGACTTGTCAGCCTCTCCCTTGCATAATCTATATGCTGACAGATCTCTCGAGTCAAAATAGCATAGTATCGCAAATCTTGTTCCACCCGTTTTCGAATTGACACTTAAGGGGGAAGGGATGCTCCAGTCGACACAGCCTCACCATGTATTATTGTGACGGACAGACGGACGTCTGTCATGGCCGATCTAGATACCACCTACGTACCCTTGCTGGATGTTGGTGCGGCAGAGATATGGAGGATGCATATCGAATCCTAGTCTACTAGCCGATCTCCTAAGATAGTTGCTTAAAACCGAGGGGATCTTGGCGCTTAGACGCAACCATCAGCCAGTGGGAGTGCGTCTAGCGATCACGTTGCGGGACACCGTGCTGTTGCTTGTCGATAACGACCGGCCCGGTGTTGCCAACCTACCACATCTCTTTAAACTCTAATCAGCGCCTACTCTGGTACCCGGGCATACTCGTCACCAATCTGTCAACTTCCACTATATGCCGGATAGTGGCTCCATATGGTCCAGGCGTGTCAGTGGTGGACGGACGTGTCGGATGGTATCCCACATGGTCGCTGAATATGCCGTATTTATCCCTTGCGGGAATGATCTCTGGTACGTGGCTGTATGTCGACCACGAGAAACGTGGGTCATTTTTGCTCCTAGACACTGATGGAATGCTATGGCTGACTGCTCGTCAGATACCTCCTTTCATCTGCTGTGTTCCAGCGGACATATCCGATGCCAGCTCGTGTGTCGCTCCCAGGCAACGATGCTAGACACCACCGAGTCAAGGTGTCTGTCACTCGGCCCCGGACTTTCCTACTCGGGATGCTGATACTGTGTCCAGGGGAGCCAATGACAATCGAGCATCGAGCCCGTGCCTGCTTGGAGTCTTCTCGATGGCAGCAGCATCCCATATACCACAATCCTCCTACTATTGCTCTTGTCTTGGCACGACATCACTGCATCGTATCCTGAGCCTTGCGAACTAGTTTTGCTGATCCAAATCAAAGGCTGCCCTTGGTTCTATTGATCCTGCAATCTCTGCTCGTCTGGATTGCCTCTAGCTACTGCAGGGTCCGTTGGTGGCGCTCATGTTGACCGATTGTCGTGATCCTTCATCATTAAGCGTTGGCGAAGCAAGCTAGGAGCCACGGTTGGCCATGATGGTGCACCGAGGCACCCAGGATTGATTCAAGGCCTCATCTGGTTCGTCGACCCAATCTACCCATTGCGAGACCCCTTATCGAGGACGCGCGGAATGGTGGTCAGACACTGCCCCTTTTGTCAGAGCGGTCAATGTTTTCCAGATGCTAGTCAAATGACGCAGCTCTTAGCCTTCTCTTAGAGGATCTAGCTTGGATTACGAAAGATTGAGCGAGTAGCTCATGGCATCCTGATTTGACCCCTCGCTGGATTTTAGTACTGAGGCATCAAGTAGATAGGTGGCATGAAGTAGTTGCTGAAGGCACTTTGGCCTATCCCTAGCAACGATACCTGACATCAGACTCATGTTGGTCAGCCTGCATATGGGTTGGATCCTTGCTAGCTTCTGGCTCATTCTACGGGTATTCTTGCGCTCTTCCGAGAACCGCGTGTGCATAACGGGACCATGGATGCAGGTAAATATGCCAATGCTGCATCTACTACTGCGCACTTATCTTGCACTAAGCCTGGTGCCGGGCACTGCAAAGCAACCTATATTGGCCTCGAGCCCCTCGCCTAATGCAAGGTAGCCCTATCGGGCATCTCAGCTACGGACACGCTGTTTCCGGGTCTCTCTTACTGGCATCCCACGCCCGAATCAACCAGCTGACTCTAAGGTTTGCCTTGATCCTGTCGATTGCCTTGTTAATCGCAATGTACCGAGCCAGCCGCTTCCGAATGGAGGTAGAATTTCTCTTACGTTAACAAGCATTGACAAGCACCAACAAGAACAGAGTAGAAGTGTCCCTTGCATGAGCGGCTCTGGTCGCTGTGTTTGATCATTCGACTCGTGTCAAATTTGCCTATCTTTTACTGCGGCTTTTGCGGAATTTGTGTTTGCCAGAGTCAGGGCAATTTACAATCCTGCCGGCCGGCCGCGCAGCTGCCTAAACGGGATTCCAGGTGCTTATGGCTGTGTTTAGTATCCAGTGCGATATGGCTATCAATTTGCTTCTGATCATTGTCTAGGCTTCCTGTGTAAGTTGTACTTCAGCAGACTAAACTAACAGAGCATTCCATCGCAAACCCGAAACAACGGGCGTACCACCCCTGCGACCAATAGCTCAATTCCATGCAGTGAGGTGCGCCTTTGACTAGACTGCCATCAACCCGGACGCTGTTTTCGAATGCTGCCGTGCAGCTTCTGATTTCCTCCTCATTTGCCTCGAAGAAGACATCGTTTTCCACGAGTGCGAACATAACGGGTGCTGCGACATGCTTCGCCCAACTGTCTCGCCATGTGGGAAGCCAAATAGTTGGATACTGCTGCAACTCCACAACAGGAGTTGCTGTATTCAGGCGGTCACTGTGCGCCAGAACTTCTGGGCTACAGGTCCCTGGCTTAAACATCATTCCATCCTTGACATCCACAGACATCGCAACATGATTTGAGCCGACCTTCTCATACACGGGTGGAGGAGAATTGTTCGCCGATGGAGACGCCTTGTCACCCATTCCGCTTACGATCAAACCTCCGAGCGCATATCGCGGCTTCTCATCCTGTGCATGCATTGCTGCAGTGACGATGCCTCCCATTACACCAAGGCTATGGCACAGAAGGACAATACAGTTGCAACCGTTGCCGAATTCAGACCATAATGCAGGGAGGATATGGCTATGCAACCAGCGCCCAGTTTCTTGATTAAAGTTTGATCCCTCCGGGACGGGTAGAAAGGAGCTAGTTTCACCAACGCAGGGTCGGTCAATAGATACGAACGGGATGCCGAAAGCAATACTTGCTCTGGAGGCGGAATAGTCTGGCGTGGCATCAAAATAATGGCAGTCGTAAGTCCCGCCGTGCAAGGCGACAATCAATGGACGATGGCGAGGAGATGCGGCTGGATCTGGGATCGAGTGTATGCCCGCCACCGTTGCATTGTTCGGTAGGGCGATTGTGAACGACTGCATCGCAGGCTATACCGGTGGACTCGTAGACGAAGCGGTATGTTGAATGCAAGGATGGCGAATTATACACAGGCTCAGGGTAAGTTGCCTAAACCAATGTTGGGCCCGATTACATCTTGACTACAGTTCTGCGGGAAGTTTACTTCCTAATATACCCAGGACTATGCACGCGCAACTTTCCTAATTTCCTGATCAACCTGATCAGGTGCCGCGGGACCCGATCAGGTGGGTCAGATCTTTTCTATTACAGGACAGTTCTGCATACTACAAAGATAGCTATCCTCCAATTGCCTCACCAACATCAGCAATCAAGGGTCTACAATAACTTGATCTCCCGTAAAGTGTATGCTCGAGTAGCCGAGTTTGTGGCGAAGACCCACCCGATTCGGGTATAGGCCTTAACTCCGGGCACGTCCGTCGGATGATATCTTCGTTGCACGGAGATAGGATTGAATGGATTACAGTGGGGAGGGTAGGAAAATTCATTCTGTGGGCGAGATTAGGGGTCGTGGAGTCGATGCTGATATTCATCTGGTGACAGGGGTATTAGAAACAAGCGGAGTGCCATTTATATATATATCTCCGTGGCCTGCAGTGACGTAATGATAGAACATCACCAGAAAGGCCCTATCTTGTAAAAGAAGAGGTAGGTGGCACTCTCCTTAGTATCAAGAGACTACAGGCTTAAATCCTGTTGCGGTCACCTACTCTAACACCCGGAGGCGTTCCAGCCGAAGGCACACAAAGAAGAAAATATCTCCGGCTGCAAATATCTGCCAGTATGGAGGCTTGTAGTTGTAGACTCTGTACCAGGATCTGTCCATTCGTTACAAAAGTAGGGGTCTATAATCGAGATGGAAAGCCTTGATGCCAGGCAGCATACGATAGGTTTCAGACATAAGGAAATTAGAGTTCTTTATCAAGCATTTAGTAGCTGATGGGATAAGATAAGAGATTATCAGATGCCATACCCGGATCTTTTTCTGCAGTGCCCCAGCAATCACTTCAAAACTCTCGAGATGTCACTACACCCAATGAATACCCTCTTGATACTTCAATCTACACCCTTCCCCAAGCAATATACCTCTTCACCTGCTCACCTATTGAATCCCCAGATTCACCCACGTAGCTCTGATTCTGACTATATAAATCCCACCTCTCCCTGTAGACTACAACTTCTTTCCTTCCTCTCTACTCCTCCTTCTCCATCAGCATTGGTCCTGGCTTTCTTATTATGCCTTCTGTTATATATAATAAGTATCTCATATAACGGGATATGTCACCAATACTATCATTAACCACACATCGTTCCATAAGGACATATAATATAACATCAATAAGATATACCCTACCAGCTAAAACCATGATAGACACACCAGATCCCCCAGTGGTACTCGGGCACTGAGAATTACAAAGACGAAACTGCCAGAAAGTAATACTCCTCAAAACCAACCCTGCTATCGAAAAACATCTAGTAAATATACCCACTCATAATGCACCAGCGCTCCTTTTTCCCTGCAAAGTACAAGCGGAACCAACCAATCAGACAGATAGAAAGTATAGCTCTCACCAGGTTTCATCTATCATCTATCTGGAGTGAGAGCATCCAATGCCAACCTGGCCATTTGGATAAAAGATGCAAGGGAGTAAACCATAATCAATATTGAAAGAAAAGGCCCGACAATGGAAAAGGAGCCTAGAAGTGGTCGGCCCACAAACCCTATTATCTACATAGGCAACGCTCTTTATCGGACTGATGTCTTCGTTGAGAACAAACGCCACAAGTCGCTGTGCACGAAATTCAGCATAGGGTGCCTTAGGCCCGGCTACACCTTTTACAGCTAAATGTTGATTAGTAGAGGATGATTTACCCGCGATGAGAGCTCTAACAACTTCGTTGATTCGAAGTGGACATTTACAAGGACGCAGCTTTGCTCGAATGGCTACCAAGAAGTTGCATTATCTGCTGATACCTGCTATACTCGCCGTACAGGCGAATGGCTTGATACGCTACGTCCTCCCATCGAAGACGGGAGCCACTATTTGCACAGATACAGAATGGATGAAAGCAGTGACATATTCGTCAACTAAATTCTATGTTGAATAGCCGAAAGGTGCGAAAATCAGATGAAAATGAAGCTTTAATCCGAACTCGTCTAGACACAACCCTGATGAGGCGTGTTGCTCGAATCACGTACTAATGTACGAAAATGATATTACCAGTGCCAGCAAGTTTCAGCACATCGACTTCCCGGAGCCACCCTGTGTGTTCAGACTCGAGATGGAGTACAAACTCTAAGCCTGGAAATACGCACCGAAGACGTTCGATTTATGGAAGAGACGGACCAGGAAGCCTTCCGCATGTGGTTGGTGACCTATGTCAATCCAAACGGGGGATTAAGAATTATCCCAAAAGTCTGCCGAAGCTGAGAGGGGGTTCAACAAACACCTTTGAAAGTATTTGGCTGCTACGTTTCGACCAACTGCCGATGTAACAATGATTGAAACCGGGAGGATATATAATTATCAAAGGGGATTCCTCGTGAAAACACAGGAAGCCTCCTTAAGGGAAGGAGTTTCATGGAGAAATATGGTTTCCTAAGCACAGTTGCGGTCTTGATCGAATATAGGGTCTTGAAAGCAGCTGACTTAGATACAATGGGGAATCAACAGAAGAAATCTTGGTGCTGGGAAAATTCAATCGAAAGACTAACAGCCAGGAAGTGTCTCAGATATAGACAATATTCTGATCCACAGACTGTCGATATTTGAATGGGTCCATTTAACCAGTGCACCTGCAATTCGAAAATTGGCAAAGATGCCCATGCAAAATTGACATATTCCATGGCATGCAGGACGAGAAGACAGGTTACGCATTCTGGCACAGAGAAGAGCCAGTATGTAACTGAGTGAAATACAATAATTGTCGAAGCTCAAGCGGAAGACAGACCAGGGCACAACCAAACTCTGGACTAAAGTAAAGAGACAGACACTTATTCCATATCAGGTGGTGGAAAACCCTTCATTTCCGAGCGAATGACAGATAGCGTGCAGTCGAAAACAAAAGGCATTCCGGACAATCTAAGTGAGCCGCGGTCTACTATTGACTATTACTGGCTATGACTAACAGAGTAATCAATAACAAGGACAAATTCTAGCTGACTTTTGACTTGCTCAGGGCGATTCTGACTAGAATGAAGCCCTAATTAGGACTCGGCTGGATGCCATCTTTCTTACAATTCTAGCCGTCAAAAAGCGGCTATATTTTTTTCAGGATAGCCACAGATCTTCTTCCTCATCGTGAGGGTTATGAGGACTGGCAGGTTTATAACATGAGAAGTTTCAATAGGTCTATGACAAGATTAACTGCTTCCTACATGGCCACACCGATTACTCTTTTTGGCATAAAGATGTTAATTTAGCAGAGACTAATACTATCATTGTGGAAGCCAAGGCAGTAGGGAAAATGGACTGGCATCAGGCCTTAGCATACTTGGACTGATGCTGGGGGCCCTCATAGCTGACTCAGTGGGACTTGGAAAAACTTACGTGGGAATCGATTGATTTCCTCCTGCATGTGAGTATATATAATGGGTATGGTGGAAGGCTTTTGCAGCTGACGCATTACAGAGATACTCTATGTTTATGAAGCAGTGCAAGGACAATCATCGATAGGAAGTACTATCTGCGTTATCGCGCAAATATATAATAACACTTCCTCAATCAAAGTATTTTTAGCACATGATGGGTCTTATAATTCAAGCATAATGGGACGCCGTGCAAAGAGGACAGAGCTGCCAGTTTATGGTATCGCAACCGATAGCAACGACTGGGTCTTTATAAAGATTGACCAAGCGTTGATAGGATCTTACATCGAGACTCTGCTAGATGCGAGCCCTGAGAATGACACTCGCCTCTGGGACCATCAAAAACGGTTGAATAACAGAGAATTTCAGGTTGTTTATCCAGACAAGGAACTCGCAACAATTGGCATTACCGACCTGGACTATCCCCGCATTCCGAAGATGGTCCGGAGTTGTTCACTAAAATCAAGGCAAGGAACCGTCGTTTCGAGACTTTAGTAGATCTGGACCGAGAAGATGTCAGAAGGCGCCATCCTAGCAGACGCTGTAGGCCTGGGCAAGACTATAGCAAGCCGGCGAGAAAGTCAGCACTAACCAACCTTGATTGGTTCCTCCCCGCCTTGTCAAATATTGGTCTTCGGAACTGCAGAAGCTAGGCAACATGTTGGACGTGTGTGTGTGTGTGTGTGTGTGTGTGTGTGTGTGTGTGTGTGCGTACTCTGGGGACAAGCGTACGCAAGAGGTGAAGAGATGCCCCAAAATCTCCTGTGTCTGTCGAATATCGTACATGATCTTTGGGGTAAAGCCCGGCTTGCCTTTAAACCCGTCGAAATGGCGGCAGACATATCCGCGCAATAGTCGTGCTCCAGAGATACGCGAGGACTCGGAATGGGTAGATGCGGGAATCAGCCCCAGCAGTTCTACCCCCAGAATGTTGAATGGTGGGAGACCCTCGCCATCGCGAAGGCCACCCGCGAGCTCGACCGGAAAGCCATGGGATCATTATTGGCCCACAACCAACATAAAGGCTGCGCTTTACACGTGCCATGATTTGAAGAGAGATGACGGAACTCACTGGTATCAATTAGAGAAGAGTAATGGATAAAAGCAAAGATTACTAGGATTTACTCTATAACTTAATTGAAGGAATATGTCAGACAAAGTAGTATTATAGTGCTCTAATATCACGGGGTTGAAATATAATGAGAACTGATGTAGCTGATAATACGGCGTAGAAGTAGTAGGTAGTTTGTCTGCTACTGGAAATAACTCCTACAATGAGTCATGAAATTAGGGTCAATTACATCCGAATCCGATGAAAGACTGACTGTACACCACTAACTAACGATCATCATCTATTAGTCTTTTACGATCAGGGACGTGCTTTGCTACCTGTTAAACAGACCAACAGTACCATCTCCCAAGATACTCAGCTCTCTACAACATACTAGTCCACCTTCCATCCTTCGCCATGCAACTACCCATTGTTTTAAGAAGTGAGCGAAACGTACGGGATCACAGGTCAGTTCGTCCTGATGGAAAAAGTGACTCAGTACCGAAAGGATGCATCCATATAACACCGGATGTCCATAGTCGACCGGCTCGATTCGGCATTGGTATATGTCGTAGGTAGTGCATACAGGACAAGTACCAGTTGCTGATAAAGACAAAACGAAGGCTTTCCATTACCGAATCTTGTACTTTCACTGGCTGCTACAAGCCTATCACGCAGGCGTTATTCATGTATCGATAGTATGTAGATACGCTAAGCATGATCAGTTTGGTCGACTCGGATCCTATTAAAGTTGGTTTCCAAACACAATAATTTCTCGAGGATATTGTCACTTCGCCCGCAAGAACCAAAGATAGGGGTGGTGTCGAATCATAGGTATCAGATATAGATAAACTTTGAGTAACCCTTCCAAGTCAATCAAGCTGTGTAGACTCTGTTCCCTATAGCCAATGCATACAAGCACAACATCAAACGCAGGCTCCTGCAATATGATGCTATGGTCGATTTCTGGTAGTATGTCTCTTCCGCTTTTGATGAACAGTTCGGGCCCTCATAATTTCATGGAATAATTGTTTCCATAATAAGCTCGTCTTTCATTATGGGTATGTACTCTTCGGCTGCATATTGAGTAGCTCTGTGCATAGACTAAAACGACACACTATTCCGGATTCTGTCGTTACCATCCATGCTTTCGGATGTGCGATTCTAATTAAATCAAGTGGCAGCGATTGTTTGACTCCCATAATGACGTGTGGGCTTATATGAGCCTTGCTGATAGGTTGGAATGCCACACGAGACTGCAGGAGGACAAGATACCTGCCACTAAGTAGGGGAGTGTTCTTATAAGTCTTGCGTTGCTAGACATCTAAAGCATCCACTAGAGCTTTGCGGGCAGTGTCCCATTGTTCAGTCTTAATCTGAAGGGCTTCATGATGTTCTCTCTCAAGTCCCTTCAGTCGCGTTATTTCTTCTCTGAGTTCTTTTTTCCGCAACCTTTGCCCTTCGGTGAGATCTCTTGTGGGGGGTAAAACCCCCTCCGGGACTTGCCGTAAAAGATTCCGTCTCTGTCATTCCTGGTGGTGATTCAGAAGACGAACATGCCTCGACCACTTCCTCAGAGAGTAGTATCGTTATGAATCTGCAGACGCACATTAAGCAGAGTGTAACCACCACTAGCTTTTACAAAGCAACCAAACCAATAATTATGCTTGTTTGGGGTCGATCTGCTCAGCTTCTTTATAGATAGATTGAGACAGAATAATGCCATATGCATGTAATCTCAGACTAATAGACTAATAACGCGCGGAACATCGAGACAACAGAAGCTCTTGTTCGTTTCTTCTAGCCAGTCTCGATAACATGTCTTTGCGAATTATAGAGCTCGATCACGTCCTCGGCGCAAGTTCTCCTCCCTGAAAAGGTCAGGTCTTTTTTCTCTCGCCCTGTCTCGCCTGATTCCCTAAAGCTGCGAGTCTCTACTCCATTGAAACGCTCCATGATAATGGCTCTTAAACAGCACTTATAGAGGTTCATTCCCGACTCCTCCGGTATAGTAGCTGGCTATCAGACTCTCTAGCCTTGTTGGACGTCAATACGTGGTACCGGACAGATAGAATAGCGAACAGTAACAGCCGATCACCCATCGTGAATAATCTTTTCCTGCCCCGACCATATACTCCAGTTCTTCACTTATTTCTATAGAAGTGTAACCCCACTTGATTCCTCAGTAACGCTCTTCGTCTCTAGCCACCTATATCCATGCTGTCATCTGGAGACTCGACTCAGATCCCGACAATCGCATTAGCGATGGCTTCCTCCCGGCTTTCAACATCTACCCACTGCTAAGTTGCAGTAGTTGACGCAGAGCTGGCACCAAAGTCGACACGTTGGACTTGATATGGTATAACATGTGCAGTTATTGCCTTTTTGACGGGGTAGTCAGTCATGTTGGTATAATATCCAAAAGAAAAATCAACCTCTCTTTCGAAATTGACCCATTATGAATCTACGGAAAGACTTCAGACGAGCCATATATCGATAGACATAATATGTTGATTTATTCCGACACCTTTTTGCCTTCCACCTTAATCAAGAGGCATTAACTGCTATTGTTCTCCAGTGGAAGAGCCACTTCGTAAACTGTCCAATCCTTTAGTCTCGTCCTCAGCCTAGCAAAACTAGTACTTAGGTCTGGGGAGAGCTTGATTCTTAAGACATGCTTAGCCAGGAATTGAATTGCTGACTGCAGAGCATCAATTTTCGTCCTCAGAACCGGCTGAGGCGTCCGCAAAGTTCATGTCGAATCTTTGCGGATTTCGTTTAGGGTATGTTTTTGTCGGGACACATAGTAGCAAAAAAATTGGGCCTACGGCCCTTCTTTCCGTTCTTCCCTTGCAGATATTCATATATCCAAGTTTATGGAAGTGAACAAATATATACTCGAAAGACGATTTCCAGGGCGTTCTCATCTAGACCCGGCTTTAGCCAGTCTGTTAATGTGACCAGATAATAGATCCCTCATGCCTTGGGAGTATAATCCAAATACTAAACAGCCACATACCTCCGGTATACTGATCGCTTTCGATGATAATATCTTCGGTAGTATATGCTAAAACCCCGTAAGATCCATTCGATATATCTCCCTTTGGGAAACCAGGAAAAACTTGTACAGATCGGACAGATTGGATTCTAGACGCCCCTTTCCTCCTTTTTCCATTGCGTGGTAGCCTCCGTATGACTTCAAATGCAAACCTATCCGTGTGGAGGCCATTTCCACAGACGATGCAGTTTCATGCTCTTTTGACATCATCATCCTGAGAAATATTATGTTCCCGTTCCTTGCTGTCGTATGTTCGGACAAACGTGCGATAGGGGTTCATTCTCGCTGTGCAGGTGTGTGTATTGCACGGTGAGCAAGTTCAATGTATGCTTGATTAGTAGTATGTTTAGTATTTTAGGTAGTATAGATATTATCATTGCTTTGGATGGTAGAGTCAGATCTTGAAATGTAGATTGTGTACTGATGTACTAGGTACAGGATCTCCACTATGTTCGCTGAAGATGTACTTTTCTATGGGAATTTGTATAGATATCGAGGTATAGACATAGATTGGAAGAAAATGGAGAAGATGGAGGCTGACTGGCAGGCAGGAAGGGGGTTTTATAGTAGAGGAAGATGGTCATATCAGATAATGATGGCGAGTGAGTGGGTGGCTATAGCGAATAGAATGGAATGAGAATGGTGAAGAGGATTTGGTTGAATGTAGTAGTATTCGAGTGAAGGGGGTGATACTATAGGGTATATGATGGTATTGATGTTAGAGTATTCAATGAAGTGGTACAGGGCTCCTTGTTTGCCCTGGAAAGACGAGGTTGCAATCCCCCATAAAACTTGGCCGGTATCTGCACCACTATCGAATGCTGATGCACGCAAATCCTATTGTGACTTGTGAGTAGTCTACCAACTACGTTACCTGAAGCAGCACGTTGCAACGAGACATCAACCCCATTCATGACTACGCGCTATAGATCTTGGATATCGTACGCATAGAGGTATATAATAAAGGCGCAAAAAGCATGACCAAAACGAAACAGGGCAGAACCTAGATGGGTTGGTTGGGAAGTATCCATCCCAGGCAAAAGGCAAATATGCGATTGCAATGATCACTTCAAAACCGACATCTGTAGCAAGAAAAACACCTTCGTACACCATCGTTTCACTTGGTATCATATCTGGAATGTATGAACGCAAAATTTCCCATCTTCCACGGTTTGGTATCTCATATAAAACCTTTCCAAGGGCACACACATTTGGCACCTACACACCCCGGCTGAAAACGACCAAGCACAAAAAGATCACAACGAACATCTCGCAAGAATGAAAACCAGGGGTAGAGGGGAGAATTTGGCAGGGAAGGAAAGGATCACAACGCTAATGCCTTTCTCGTATTCTTCTTCCCTCTATCGCTTTTTTTGCATCTTTTCTTTCACTTCCTGACGTCTTAATTGACTTGCACTCTGTGGTATCAAAATAAATCCGAAACACGAATCGCTGACAACAAATCAAAACGAAAAACAGAAACTGAATGATGAAAAAAAAACAGAAGTCTCTTGGGGTATACTGCTGCAAATTGACATTGATTTTAACGCGGTGGCCCGATGGGGGCCGGGTATCCAGAAGTAGAATTGGAAGTACTAGGACGACCACTGTCAAAAGAAGCGCGCGGGTCATGCTTGGGGGTCATGTCCCCTGGCGCGGTACCGAATGGAAATTTGGTGTCAAAGCGCGCGGGCCAGCCATTGCTGCTGCTGTGGCTGTGAGAACTTCCGAGGACAGGCACGTCGTCCTCGGCAAGGTTCACGCCAGAATCATTCCATGGGTTGCGGTAGCCACTGTCTCGAGACTCCATGGAGACCAGTGACGCCTTCGAGGCGTTACTGGACGCATGCTTGAAGAAGGATCCGGGAGAGGCCGAGTGATTCTTGCGGCCAATGAACGAAGAAAAGGAAGAGATGCTGCCGGGCTTCCGCAGTCTCT